ACGGAGGACTTGATGGAGGAGTCGGGCAGGATGTCGCACTTGTTTGAAAGCGCGCTTTCGCTGGCCTGGCTAGCGGAGGAAGTAATCCACCGGAATAAATATATAAAACTTCAATTGTTCCGGACGGAGGACTTGGTGGAGGAGTCTAGGGGGGAAGGGGGTCTGCGCAGGATTCGCGCAGAACTGATACAGGGATGCGCAAGTGCGACGAACTTTCGTCCTGCCGCAGTATTTTGGGGCTTCACTGTTACTAGGCGCTTTTCCTTTCTCATTAGGCCCTTGGGCAACAAAAGCAAGTTTCTGTCAGATGTGGTGATATGGGGCACCAGAACAGCAGGCCTTCGTCCACCATATCAGCATCCTAGACATTTGGGTGGTTGGCAAAATTATGGTCCCTTTCTGGGTACCCTAAATATTAGGTGCCGTATTGAAACAAGGATCCAAAAAGGGCCCATGATTTTTGACAACCACCCATATACCCTATAATCCCCATATAACCCATCATAGTACTTTCCTTTTTCTTTTCCATTACCCCAATATAACCCTAACATAAACCCATGTATATATATATATATCCCCATATAGCCCCATTATAGTAGTTTCCATACCCTAAACCCTAAACCCTAAACCCAATATAACCCTAATATAAACCCAATATAACCCTAATATGAACCATTGTGTTGGCCTTGCCCTGTGCTCTGTGTTTGTCTACACCGGTGTTTGGCTACAGGACGCAGGGTGTGTCTCTGCTTGGGGCTTAGGGTTTAGAGTTTAGGGCTTAGGGTTTAGGGTTTAGGGTTCTGCTTGTTGTAAGCTTCCCGCGTAATCTGCCGGATGTCGTTTTCCAAGCTCCCCTACAGCAAGTTGATGTGGTCGAGGGCTGGAGCCACAAAGGTTCGAAGCGAACCTCACTGCCCTAAAACCCTAAACACTAAATCCTAAACCCGAAGCCCCAAGCCCTAAATCCTAAACCCCAAACCCCAAATCCTAAACCCCAAACCCCAAGCCCTAAACCCTGAATCCTAAGCCCCAAACCCCAAGCCCTAAACACTAAACCCTAAATCCGAAACCCCAAACCCCAAGCCCTAAACCCTAAACCCTAAATCCCAAACCCCAAACCCCAAGCCCTAAACCCTAAACCCTAAACCCTAAATCCTCAACCGCAGCCTTAGCCCTGAACCAAGCCGGC